TTTTCTCAGTATATCCATAGTATATTGTGGTGATCATCACCGTCAGTTATTATCAATCCATGGTCCAATTCTATAAAAAAAAACATATGTATATGCTACTCACCACGTCATATTGTGCTCTGTGACCGGTGTACTTCCAACCTTACCTAATCTAACCGACCCTAGTACATGTAGATGTTAATTCATATTTTTTACTAAAACTTTTTATTGTTTGAAGCATAGCAATTACAAATGGGAAATGTAACATGTTAAAGAAATAACAGTTTACAGAGATGTTCAGTGTAAAGTCAAGAAAAATTATTCATTTTTAACATTTAAATAACACATACATTACAGCGGGCCAAAACTATGCCATTGTTTACACAGATTTGAATTGTGTTGGGACTTGTCCTTTATTTGAACTTGATCTGCTCTGGCTTATGTCCTGGGGAAGTCATCCTTATGCATTTATTCAAAACCCAGTTTGCATTGATAAATGTAATTGTATTTTATTTTATTTTATCTGAATGGCATTTGTACATGGTAAAGGCCAGTCATCCAGCAATTCCATCTAATTCTGGAAGAGTCTGACACATAATTTTGCATGTTATGACGAAAAGTAAAAGTAGTAAAAATGAAATTTGTATTTTGTAACAGTACAGTAACAATAATCTTCAAAACTGATCACTGATCCTTGGAGAAAAGTGTATATTTTGGCTTTTTCCTCTTAAAATATGTAATAATTCTTGGAACACAATAACAACAAGAGAAAGCAGTATTTGTTATTCCTAAAAAATATATGTATCAATGGTTAGTGACAAAGTTGTTGCCACATCATATTTGAAAACTTCAGGACCAGTATTATGATCTGCAGTATTTTTTAAAGTAGATTCTGGTAGATGACCTCTGTATTCTAGTATGAATACAATTATCCACACTGAGATAGATGGGAGTGGTTCACAGGCATTAGGCAGTCAGACTGTTTTTCTGGCTCAACCATGTTTACCTGTAGCATTTCTATATCTCCTTAAGTTTCAGAGGAAACATTGATGTGGAAGAAGACCATCAATGAAATGAAAATAAATATGTTGGAGAAAAAAAATGAAAAATTGTAATTTAGGGACACACTTCAGTCCCTTGTCCTGGCACTGTTGTACTGCATATTTTTCCTAGCAGCACTATACACTTGGGAGGCATTGCCAGAATCCATGTGGTGTATACTACTGGGATCCATTACGTAAATATGTTCATGTGATGCTGAAGCAGTATGCATCAAGCTTTCAATCCTCTACAACCTTTCCCAAACGTTACAAAAAACTTTAAAGATCTTTCCTAAATGGTCATTTCACCCAAAACTGATAATTCAGAGTTCAACCTCCTAACAATGTCTTATATTATCAGGGATAACTTTTGGGTTAACTAACCCTTTCATATTAGATGTTGTCCTTGCAGCATAAAGTTGATATGTAAAAAGTGAATTTGTGTGTACTATGCTTGTGTCAAAGTGACTCTGCCCTAAGCAGGAGTGTCTATTTAAATTTAGTTGCCAGGCTGTAGCTAGCCTAAGTCAGTCTTGGGGGGATCAATGCAGTTGTATGTCTGATCCTTCAAGGCCTGCGGCTTGAGAAGGGTGACCATGTGCTTGAACAGAGGCCTGGGTTTCAAGGCTGGTATGTTAAGCCAGGGGACTGAGATACCATGACGAAACATCAGTCTGAATGAGGTACCTGAGAAGCTGGGCAGAAGCTTGGTACTTGACAAGAGTGTGATGATATTCCCCCAAGGAGTCGATAGATGAACCACTTGGTATCTTGCAGCCAGGAGTATATTTCACAAAATGCTAAGTCAGCATAAAGGTTATCTATCTTTGAAGGCTGTAAGTACTTTTTTTTTCTTCCTATTTCCTGGAGTATACCAAGTGCATGGGTGTCATGTGCCCTAACCCTCTCTCCTAAGGGTTTTGAGTGATAGTCAATAAACTCCTTGTTGCATTAAAAGTGGCTGGAGCCCATCTGTTCACATTGTATCCACATATCAGACCCTGAGGTGAAATGCGAGCCGATCCTGCCTCTGGGGTTCCCTAAATGCCTTTGGGGGTCAGGGGGTGCTAAATATTTGGATGCAATGCTACCCCAAGCACTGGACTGCAACTGTGCAGAATGTGGAAATTTGTCAGAAGAACATTTAAAGCCTCACATATGGTAACACTGTAATCCTGTGCATGGTGGAAAAGAACCTGTGTTTATTTTTTTGTGTGTGGGAGAGCATTACCCTGCTTTGTCACTTTTGGGTGGAGATGGGCACCTGTAAGTTCCAGAAGCTTCCAGACTAATCAGTGTAGTGGAGGAACTGTTCCTCTGCTTCTGTTTAATGGTGCAGCCTGTATGAACCGGCATTGCTGCACCTGCTGTGGAGCTGCTATATATTTGTGTGTAGGGAAGAGAAAGAACATGACGGGATTTATTAATTCCACTGTAATTTTCTTATCAGCAGAATGGAAAATCTCTACCCTGGGAATCACCACCAGTCCAGCTGTACAGGGAAATTATATTACACACACTGAGATATGACTGCAACCCAGAAGTTTGGAGCTGTATACTGTCTGAGACCATAAGGCCACCAGCATAGGTTTTCACATAGTTTTTCTTTAACCACTTGCTGACCAGGTGTTTACACCCCCTTCCTGTCCAGGCCATTTTTCAGTATTCAACACTGCGATACTTTGACTGACATTTATTCCGTCATACAACGCTGTACTGAAATACATTTTATACCATTCTTTGGGGACACATAGAGCTTTCTTTTGGTGGTATTTAATCACCACTGGGGTTTTTATTTTTTACTATATTAAGGAAAAATTATTAAATTAAAAAAAAAGTTTTTATTACATTATGTTAGGAAACAATTATTATTACCCAATTTGTTGGTAAAACATAGAAGACGGGGTCACGTCAGGTAAATAGACACAAAACATGTCACGCCATAAAATTGCGCACACCCGCAAAATCACAAAAAATTACCATACCCAAAATTGGCCATAGGCGACACTTTGAAAGCTTTTACTGCTCATTGGTTTAGTGTTATCTGTGGGTGAGGGCCCTAGAATTATTGCTCTCACTGCATCGTTCGCGGTGATATGTAACATGTGTGGCGTAATGGGCGCAATCGTCGTTTTTGCACGTATGCGCACCCAAAGCATGTTTGCCCGCGTGTATGTATGGGTGGGGACTTTAAAACATTTTTGTGGGTTGTGCCTTCGGCAGCTTTGTGAATAGCCCTCTTAGTTTCTTTCATGCTTGTCCAATGCTGAGCTTGTATATGCAACATTACATGGGTGTAGAAAGCAGCAAGTATGAACATAGTATTCAGCGCTTACCTTAAAACAGAACTTTACTTAAAAGTTATTTTAGTTCTTTTATTAGAGACAAATAATACTTTGCCTCTTCTGCAATGAAGAACACTTACATTCATCCATGCAAACTCTTTTCAGAGTATACTGAGCTGTGCATACCTTTCCTGATCTACATTCTTGCTGCATGTTAGTGACTCAGGAAGTACCGAAGCCACAGACAGACAACTCAAATATTCACAAGGAGATCAGCAATGAAAGCCTCTGGATTTCCCATAGTGTTTCCCTTAGGAAAGGATTACATTAACCCCTACTATCTTTTTATAACTAAAGATTGAGTTAAAAAAAAAAATTTGTTATGTTTTCTACCTCTACTTTTGGTCTCACAACATCCTGCTATACATCAAAGCTGTTAAAAATAATAACTTAGCAGATTTGTGTATGTATATAGGATTTTAAGAAATATTATTATTTTTCTATTAACATGTTATACACATTCTGTATAATAATTGTACTGGGTCTTGATACAGATCACAGAACTGCCTTCTTTTTACATCTGATTTGTAATAGATCAACTCAGTTTCGCCTTCTCCGGCAAACCTTCACTGCAATCAACGGCAGCAGGGTTAACTTTTTTTTTCATGCCAGTCTCCAACTAGTCTTGTTGCTGGTCCTCTTGCTGATGTCATTCCACCTGCACTGTAATCAGCTAGGAACCAGCAGCCTTTTCATCAGGATGGATGAGGACCCATTGTCAAGGACACATAAAACTAGCTTTGTATTTAGTATCTGTGACACAAAATAAATATTTACAACACTATAACCATTGACTCCACACAGCCATGAGTGATCTATATAAGTGTAAGTTTTCCTGACTACTACTCCTGGCTACTTGTCTGCTTTCACTAACATAAAAAAATATATACAGATCAAGAGTTCTGACTTTATTTGCTTAATTAGATCTGCATGTCAACCACATAAGTAGCATTTTCATTAGGTGGCATGGTAAACAGTGGCAGCCCAGATATTTCTCTCATATATTTCAGTTACATTTCTCTCTACCCATCCATCAATTTTGTAAATGCCTGGAAATGGAAATATATAGGTGCATGGGCATACATTACTTAATTCAGAAATCTTTGTACAAAACAAAAGGTTAAACAGGATACCCTGCTATTAGTAATAATTCATTTATTTCTACATTGTGACACTAATTGTGATGCATTCTGCATACAATATGAGAAAGTTTCCAAGGTCAAACAATTTAAAATAGTATTTTTTCAAAATTGACTCTCTGCTTTCAGAAAATATGTAATGTTTTGGGGGGTTTTTAATGGTCTAAAATGTGCATTTTAACATGTTTGTTAAAGAAATGCTTTTTTACATGTTTTTCTGGGGGATATGTAAAGCTAAGGAAGTTGCATTTATCTTACCTAACCACAGTTTTGTGCTCAGATTTCAGCTTTTCATGCTACCACCATAAAGAAACTGAAATATTCCCAGCCACTAACCGATGACCTTTTAGCGGTGTCCTCCAACCATGAACATTTTGCATTTTTCTCACTAGAATAGTACAAAGTTCCAAGTGTTAAAAAAAATCGTATTTTGCCACAATTGTCTGCAATATGTCAGAAAATATAACTTATCTAGTTGATTCTATTCTGTTTTTCAGTTGCTGGTTGGGATGCTGCCTCATTCCCTTTTGTGTGGACAGCTGTAAGGATGTTGACCACTTTTGTCCAAACTGCAATAATCATCTGTCAAAGTACAAAAGACTATAAAGAACACCTGAAGAAGCCAGTTGACATTTTTGAATTATAGTATTGTCCATGCCTGGCTTTTTATCTGCAAAATTACAAGGAAATCATGCATTAAGCAGTCCTATTTGAACATAAAATGATCTGATTCTATAAACTTTTGGTTTGTTCATGTACTATATAGATTTTATACCATGATTTGAACTTGTGTGAAACTTTTCTTATACCGATTATTTCCCTAATATGTTCAGTTTCAATCCCACATTAATTTTATAAACAAGATAATTGAAATTACTTTCTGTGCAGCATGTTTATTTGTCATATTCAACACACGATTCAGTCATACCAACTGCATTAGTTACTAGAGCCTTTTTTTAGAGTTTACCTGGACCAGATGGCTTACACCCACGTGTCCTCAAAGAATTGAGCTGTGTAATTTCAAAGCCATTGTATCTAATTTTTAGAGACTCTCTAACAACTAGCTTGGTACCGATGGATTGGCGCAAAGCTAATGTGGTGCCTATATTTAAAAAGGGATCAAAGTCTTTACCAAGTAATTACAGACCTGTAAGTTTAACCTCAATAGTTGGCAAGATACTTGAAAGTTTGATCAAGGATCACATGCAATTGTTTTTGCTTGAAAATTATATCATCAGTGATAGTCAACACGGATTCACAAAAGACAGAAGTTGTCAAACAAACCTACTTTCTTTTTATGAGGAAGTGAGTAACAAATTGGACAGGGGAGTGGCTGTGGATATAGTATTCTTGGACTTTGCAAAAGCGTTCCCCACATGCGGCTAATGTATAAGTTAAGGTCAGTAGGTATAGAGTATTCAATCTGTAATTGGATAGAAAACTGGCTTACAGACCGTATTCAGAGAGTGGTGATCAATGATTCATACTGAGGTCTGAGTCTTGTTAGTGGTGTCCCCCAAGGTTCAGTGTTGGGTCCCTTACTGTTTAACCTATTTATAAATGACATAGAATTGGGGATTAAAAGTACTATTTCTGTGTTTGCAGATGACACTAAGTTATGTAGTGGAATACAGTCCTTACAGGATGTCTCCAACTTACAGGCAGATCTGAATGCACTCTTTGATTGGGCAACTATTTGGCAAATGAGGTTTAATGTTGATAAATGTAAAGTTCTGCACTTAGGGACTAAAAACATGCATGCGTCCTATACTCTAGGGGGAGAATGTTTGGGGGAGTCAATGATGGAGAAAGATCTGGGTGTTCTGGTAGATCATAGACTCAATAATAGCATGCAATGTCAAGCTGCAGTTTCTAAAGCAAGCAAAATACTTTCTTGTATTATGAGAGGTATAGACTCCAGAGATAGAGACATAATCCTGCCCCTGTATAAAGCATTAGTAAGACCTCATCTAGAATATGCAGTTCAGTTTTGGGCAACAGTTCCCAAAAAGGATGTTGTGGAACTGGAGAAAGTGCAGTGAAGGGCGACCAAACTCATAAGAGGCATGGAGGAGCTCAACTATGAGGAACGATTAGCTGACCTGAATTTGTTCTTTCTGGAGAAGAGGCGATTTAAGGTGGGACATGATCACCATGTATAAATACATAAATGGTCCATATAAAGAGCTTTGTGCCAAATTATTCACGTTAAGGTCACTGCAAAGGACAAGGGGGCACTTATTGCGTCTGGAGGAAAAGGGGTTTAACCTTTGCATACGGAAAGGATTCTTCACAGTTAGAGCTGTGAAAATGTGGAATAGAATCCCCCAGGAGCTAGTCCTAGCTAGCTTGGTTAATTGTTTTAAAAAACATCTAGATGTATTCCTAAATGCACAGAATATGATTGGATATTGAGTTCTTAGAGGTATATTAAGCATCAGAGATTGTTGATCCAGGGAATATCCGATGGGATCAGGAAGGATTTTTTTCCCCCGTTGGAGCAAATTGAACCATGCTTTATAGGGGTTTTTTTTGCCTTCCTCTGGATCAACATTGGGTAATTGTGGGCATAGTGTTCTGTTTAGGCTTTTCTTCTTATCTCTATAGGTTGGACTAGCTCTATAGGTTGGACTCGATGGACTTGTGTCTTTTTTCAACCTGACTAACTATGTAACTATATACTGCCCTGCCATAATAAAAAAAATGTGTCCACTTAGATTTCGTACGTTTAAATATGAGTTCCAGGTGCCCCTGCATTAAAGATTTAAACCCCAGAACATCTAGTCTAGATATGTCAAACTCATGTCCAAGGAAGGGCCACAAAGGCAGTTGTACTTTCATCTGTGGGCCTCATTTTGAAAGCTATAAATGGTAATTGGAAATGTATTAAATACATATAACATTTTACTAATCATTATTATTGAAGAACATATTTTTCTGTTTCTTTGCTCTCTCCTCCAATCAGCATGTTTATTTGTTAGCACAAAGAGCAATTGAAACAACTGATTGGCTCCTTGTGCTGAATTTTCTTTTTCCAGTCTATGTTCTGCTGTAGGATAGATTGCAAGAGACTGATACCAAGTCAGATTTAGGTTCTTATACTTTTTGTGTTTCAAAATATACATTTAATAATGTAAAATGAATGACTGCTGAGGCTGCAATAGATACGAGCATTACAATGCCCATTATCAAACATTATACATTACATTTAATACCCTTACAACCCTAAGGCTGCATTTCATTAACTGGGACAATTTCCTGAAAAATACAATATATAGGTTGATAAGACCTATGCATACTCCTCACAATGGCCACTGGAAACACTTCCAGAAAGATTTCTAAATCATACTAAAAGTATGCAAAACCTAGATGTAATTTGTGTAGTTAAAAAAACACACACAGAAGAGCAGGAGTTTTGCTTGAACCTCTGTGATGTAAATAAGACTAAAGTAAAATCATTATCAAATACCTACACTTGTAGATATAACTAGAATGCTGTCTTAATACTGACTTGGAAAACACATGCACCATGTAATATTTTCATGCTTTAAAGAAGAACTCCAGGCAAATAAAATGCAAGGCTTAAGTGCTTGTTTTGCCTAAGGAGCTAAAATAACAAAACTATCCTCACCTGAACCAGGTCCAGTGAGTCATCATGTACTATGCAGTGTATTGGAGAGGGCCGAGGGACATTCTATCACTGGAGAGGAGGAGAGACACTGGTCTAGAAGCCATCTGGGATTGCAGTTCGGGTGAGTATATCTTTGTTATTTTACCTTCCTAGGCAAAACGAGCACTTAACCCTTGCAGTGTGGGGGTAGCTTCGCTGCAAGGGTTATTATTTTATTTGCCTAGAGTTCTTTAACCACTTTCAGTCCAACAGTTGTAATTAAATGGACGGACTGTGGCTTCTCAAATACTAGTGGACGTTATAAAATGTCCTTTCTCCTGCTTGCTGCCCTGTGCACATGAGTTGGAAACTGTTTGCATATTAAACAGCCAGTGATGGCTGTTTACATACAAGCGCCTGGGTGGCTGTAGAGCCGCACAATCGCTTTTTATGTTTTGTTGCAATGTTCGGTCCTCCCCTCCGCTGCAGCCTATGCTGGGCTCTGCTGTGCCCTCTGTGGGCCCGGGAGCGGCACAGCAGCTCTCAGTATTGAGATTGGCGGGATCAGCACACAATCTCCTGCTGATCTCCCCTCCTATCTCTGAAAGTGGAAGCGATGTGTATTACATCACTTCCGCATTCAGCTGTCATTTCTCCAGCTTCTTTAGCCAGAGAAAAGCTGGTAAGCATCTCTGCTTCATCAGCTTCTTTTGGGATTCCTAGGTGTCATTAGGAGTCTAAATTACCCCTGATGTCTCCATAAAGAGGACCTGTTAAATCCTCTTTGCTATCACGTTTCTAGCTCCCTATGTGATGGCAATAAAGTTAAAAGAGAACCATGGGGTAACCTATTTATCCCATAGTTCTCTTTAGGGTCACGTCCTCCCGTGACCCAAAGCTCAGTATATAGCGAGCTATTGCTTGCTATATACTAAGAGCGCCGCAGCCGGGACCGATCACGACAATACTGTTGAGATCCACCCTGCTGGCTGATTGCCAGCGGGCTCTTCCTATCTAGAGGCAGAGCTGGCTGTGCCCACCCCCTCCCCCATCTGTTCCTCCAGTCATTGCTGGAGGATCGGAGGGGGGATCCCTGTGGGGAGCAGTGACTGACAGTCACCGCACTCTGCAGGGAGATGATCGGAAAGTGAGAAAGTGATGGTATGTGTTCGCTCACTTCTCGATCATTAGAGTTGATGTGTGACAGTTTCAATGTCACATGTTGGCTCTAACTGTGAGGATGAGTGAAAATCACTCACCTCATAGTTCTCCTTTTAAGTGTAAAAAAAGTGTAAAAAAAAAAAAGTTTAAAAAAAGTCACATATTACAAAAAAATTTAAAAAACGCCCAAAAAAGTTTAAAGTCCTCCGCCCCGACATACACACACATAAAAATGTAAACATGCGTCGGGAGCGCCTACATGCGAAAATGTTGATTGTGCTGCACATGTTAGAACGTTAGAGAGCAAGCAATAACTTTAGGGCCATCAATTACTGTTAACACCAAATTGATGAGCAGCAAAAGCTTTTAAAGTGCGCCTATGGCCAATTTTGGGTATGGTCGTTTTTTGCAATTCCGCGGGCGTGCAATTTTAAGGCTTGACATGTTTAGTGTCTATTTACCTGACATGACCCCCATCTTTTATATTTTACAGAAAAATTGGGTAATAATAAATGTTTCATAACATAACGTAGTGAAAACAGTTTTTATTTGTATAGTGATTTTAAAAAACCCAGTGGTGATTAAATTATATCAAATTAATTTGCGTACGGCCTTACATGACTGAATAAGTGTCAGTTAAAGTACCTCAACACTGAATACTGAAAAATGGCCTGGACAGGAAGGGGATTTAACACTCTGGTCCTCAAGTGGCTAAAAAACATCTTGTAATTCTGTTTCTGATGGATTTTTATTTTTTTTATTTAGGGAAGCTGATAAAAGGTATAATTTTAAAGGTTACTTCAAACTTGTATTCCTTCAGGAAATGAAGCCATGATAGGTCTTTGTGATTCCTACATCATTGGCTGTAAGCATTTCTAGAGAGTGGTAACATCATGCCTGCACAGCTTTCCCAGGGCCGGTGCTAGGATTCCTGCCTACACAGGCAAGGTGGATTTTTGCGCCCCCCCCTTCCTCCCCCCCCTTCCCGACCCCCTGTAAAAACAGGGCATTTTGACAAGTACCTGTACTTGTCAAAATGCCCC